TTGGTGGGATTTTTTTGCTTAAGGTATTTTTTTTTTTTTTTTTTTTTTTTTTTTTTTTTTAGTTTTCTGAGCAACTGGTGGTTTTAAAAAGGCATTTTAAAGAGGCTTTTAAAACCTGTCGTTCTCCTTGCTGTGTAGGAGTGTTCTGTGTGGGTACAGAGAGTAGGATAAACTACTTCATCCTCCTGTGGTCTCACTGGAAAGACAAATCCTGAGCCATAGGCACTGGGAATCGACTCAGTCATGGCCGTTATCCAGCTGCCACAGGCTAAGAGCAGCATGTCCTCTACTGTGCCCTTACATTTGGAGTTCAGAGCTAAAAAGATCATAGGCTTCTTGCAGCCAGAACATCTTACTAACAAGTGGGCTTTCTGTGGTCAGTTTGCTAATGCAGTTTTATTCCAGAGAGAGTCTCTTTCTTCTGCAAATTAAAGACCCCATTGGTTTATTATTGTATTTATATGCTTTCTGGTCTAGACCTAAATGAAATGTTGATCCCCCTTTAAATTGCTTACAAATGACAGGAATTGTTTTTCCTCGCCTTCCCTACATCACCTCTAGTGCTTTTAATTCCTCTCCTTCCTTTCTTCCTCTTCCCCCTACTGTGATTCTTCATGGCCATGCTGCTCATGGTTTTCACCCTCTTTGAGAGGAGCTGTTTCTACAAAGAAAAGGATGCAAGCTCTTGAAGTGGAGCATGAAATTAGCAAATCGAATCCTTCATGCACTGAGGCCAAGAAAAGTTGCATGGGATGAAAATGCTGTTCCAGGTCTGGCAAGTGGCTCAGCCATGTTGGGTTTTTAACTTCCATTTTTAATTTTTAAAGGAAAATTGGGATAATTCGATCTCTGTTGAACCTATACTTTCACCCTTCTTTCAGAAAAGGAGAAAAGCAGTACCAGAACAAGACAATGGGATAGGCTGGGACCCAAAGAGTTCAATTCATGACTAAAATCAAAATGTTTTAGTTGCTTTTAATGTTAAAATATTCCTCGAAACACAAGTTTAACTGCTTGTTTTTACTCTGTGCAGAGCTCTTTTTTTCTCTGTGTGCATTGCTGTACAGCTATCTTAAATGGGTGACTACATAAGGAAGGGTTACTTAACCATCATGTATCAGACCATTGCTGGAAGCAAAGTAAATGAATGTTGTGACCGGATCTGGCACGTTAGCTTCCTATTTCACTTTCCCTGCACAAAAAGATAAGAGGAATGCAGGCCTTTCCCTTTATCTCACACAGTAATAATGCACCTCAGCAAAGATTTGAATGGGCTGCAGGATTATTAGGATTGTAATGTCTTGCTTTCCTTTTCAAGTAGGATGAAACTAAATGTAATCATCTGTTGGGTTAGATGAACACAATGGGTTCTCAGCTGTAGGCTTTCATCACAGTGGTGATCTTGTATGATTTGGCCTGGCAGGGCTCCGGGCTCACAAAAATTTTGTAGGTGTCAGATGTTTGGCACTCAGAACCAAGCACTGAGAGCCCTTGTCATACTTGTGTCTCCCTGCTTTCTCGTCTTCCAGTTTTAGAATACTGTCACCATTTTAAGCATGTTATATTTAGAGGAGGCTAATGGAAAGCTGCTTGGCTACGTCCAGTTTCAGTTACATGGGCTTGAGTGATAGTCTGCTCAAATGCTGTTGTGTGCATTCTGGCAGGATCATGGTGCAGTCTAGCAGAATTTTGCTCAGCTACGGAGCTGGGCTTTTATGGTCTTGGTATTTTCTAGGAGCAAAGTGACAGTGTGGTGTGGCTGCTACCTTCACTATGACTATTTTGTCAAGTTTGTTTCTGAAAAAGAAAACAAAACCAGGCTTTGAAACTATGGATCTCAACTTGACAGCTTATTTTCTAAACAGCATATGGAACAGCCACTGCAGCCATGCTTGCTGTGCTCTGATCAGCTGCTTTTTATAATTTTTCAGTCACAGTGTCCTATATGCTACAGCCCCTTTTTTTCCATATCCCTAATGCTCTGTTGCAGGCTGTCCTACCAGAGAAACGATGATGATGAGGAAGAAGCTGCCAGAGAACGTCGCCGACGGGCTAGACAGGAGAGGCTGCGGCAAAAAGAAGAAGGAGATCTATCGGGAGAAGTAACAGAGAAATCAGAAGTTAATGCCCAAAACAGGTAAATGTCTGATGGTGTTTACTGACAAGTCAACAGTAATTTTTGTTCAGAATAGAGAAGTATCTTGAAGAGCTTTGTTTTGCTACTTAAATATTAAGCACCAGGTTTGGCCATCCTTGCGCTGAAGAGGACCTAACACTGTGAGGAGCGCCACTGGCTGTGTCTACACAGTGGGGTGGGAGCATCACTGAAGCTGGGCTTGAGGCCATGCTCATAACCCGTTCCCAGGGTGTCCTCAGGGCTGTCTATGGAGTAACTCAGCTGGGGCTCATGGAAGGAAATACTTCTGATGCATCTTGCTGTCAGATTCCCTCAGGCATGACTGCCTCTGTGCCTCACAAACCCCCACATCTTTTGTCCTGCTTGGTGTCATGGTGTCATGGGGCCAAGGCACATGGGATTGGTGGGCACCCAGGCCTTAAGTTGTAGCTGAAACATGCCTGCAAGGTGCTGTGTGAGTGCTAGACCTCAGCCCTCATCTGGCATTGTCAGGGTCATACAGCTATAAACAGCAGAAAAGCTTATGGAGTAAGGCGCTGCTTGTCACAAACTGAGTGGGCAGAGCTGGCCTTCCAGTCTGTCCATCATTTATTCAGTTTCACGTAGTCACAAATAATATATCCAGATTTCCAGTAGCCATAACACAATTGATAGAAGAGACCAGAAATAAACATTGTGATATCAAGCTAATAGATACTGAGCACAAGCAGCATTCTATAAAAGAAAAGGAGAATGGATATAGATAGGAAAACAGCAACATTTCTGATTGTAGATTATAATCTTTTTCCACAATAGAAGGGGAAAAAAGCTAGAAAGAGGAAGAGACCTGCACACAGGAGGACTAAACAGCTGAATTTTGAAGGAGTCAAAAAACCTCCAGGGACTGAGAACGAGATCCAGTCCTGATACCTACAGGTGTCTTAAATTAGGTGCTCTGCTCACTTCATTTTCTAACAGATTATTGTCCCTGTACAGACAATCACAACCTCGCTGCGCCCTTAATTGCCAGGCTTTCCCATTATGGACTGTATCTGTGGATGTTGCTGCTGAACAGGAGTAGCTTCTTGTTGCTAGAGAAGTTCACTGAAGTCAGAAAGTATGTTGCTTGTGTAGCATCTTCAAAAATTTTGCCTGGTGGGAAGACTGTGCATAAGACATGTACGCCTCAGGCCAAGCTGAAGGGGGCCTTAAAGCAAGCTAAGGTCTTCCAAGTATTCTGCTGCAGGGCACAGAGGGGGAAGATGAATTTTTCAGGGCTGTTCATGTTTCAGCTGCTCCAAGCGTCAGGGGCTGTTCCAGTGCCTACTGAGGTCAGTAAGACTCCCGGCGACTTCAGCGGCTGTTGGAGCTCGCCTAGAAGGGAACCTTTCCAGGCTCTGACATTGTGAAACACTGCATTCCTATACATGTAGAAATACCAGAATTAATCCCTGGAACCATTTTGCTAAATTTTGAAGTATGCACCTGTTGTGTTTTCAAACCATGGAATGATGTTACAGCAAGCTTTTTTTTCTAGAAACAGCTAAGCACATATATTGTTAGAAAGTTTTTGTTTTTTTTTTTTTAATGCAAAATTGTCACTTTTATGTAGTGTGGCAGAAGAGGAAACCAAGCGTACTACAACCACAGGGGGAACAGATGACGAAGCTGCATTGTTGGAGAGACTGGCAAGACGGGAGGAGAGACGCCAAAAACGTCTACAGGAAGCCCTGGAACGTCAAAAGGAATTTGACCCCACGATCACAGATGGGAGCTTGTCACTGCCCAGCAGGAGAGAAGTAAACAACGTGGAAGAAAACGAGACCATGGGGAAAGAGGAAAAGGCTGAAACACGCCGAGGATGTTATGAGATTGAGGAAACGGAAATGGTTACCAAATCATACCAAAGGAACAACTGGCGGCAAGATGGGGAAGAAGAGGAAAAAAAAGAAGAAAAAGACAAGGAGGAGGTACAGGAGGAGAAACCAAAGGAGGTCCTCTTAGAGGAAAATCAGGTAGATTTGACAGCAGAAAAATCCACAGATAAAGAAGAGGTAGTAGAAACAAAAAATCTAGCTATAAATGCAGAGGAACACAAAGCAGAGAATGATACAAATGCCGTGCCAGAAGGGGAGCAGAGTATAACTGATGTTGTAGATAAAGAGAAGCTTAGGGATGAGGAAAAGGCTGAAGAAGAAAGGAAGAAAGCAGAAGAAAGGGAGAAACTTGAGGCAGAAGAAAGGGAGAGGTTAAAAGCAGAGGAAGAAAAGGCAGCTGAGGAAAAACAGAAAGCAGAGGAGGAAAAGAGGGCAGCTGAGGAAAGAGAGAGGGCTGAGGCAGAAGAGAAGAGGGCAGCTGAGGAAAGAGAGAGGGCTGAGGCAGAAGAGAAGAGGGCAGCTGAGGAAAGAGAGAGGGCTGAGGCAGAAGAGAAGAGGGCAGCTGAGGAAAGAGAGAGGGCTGAGGCAGAAGAGAAGAGGGCAGCTGAGGAAAGAGAGAGGGCTGAGGCAGAAGAGGAGAAGGCGGCAGCTGAGGAAAGAGCGAGGGCTAAGGCAGAAGAGGAAAAGAGGGCAGCTGAAGAAAAGGCTAAGCTAGAAGCAGAGAAATTAAAGGAAAAACAAAAGATGGAAGAAAAGAAAATAGAAGATAAACAGGTAAAAGAGAAGAAAGTACAAGAGGAAAAACCTCAAGCAGCTTTCCTAAGAAAACAGGTACAGTAAACATTTTGCACCAAAATAAGACACCTGTGGTTTGTGAGAAATGTAATGCAAGAAAAAAAAAAGATTGAATTGGAATTTCCTCACAGATCTATTCCTGCATTGAAATGACTAATACTTGTGCTCTGTCCCTTGCGCTCTCATTTTTAAAATAAAGCTCCTTACTTTTGCTTACCAATAATGCAGTGCACAACTTGCCTGACCTCACTCCATCGTTCAAAGAAAACCTTGCATGTTCAGCCCTCCGCATGTTGTTTTGCTGCCTTTTTTTCTCAGCTGCTATAAACTGGCCTAATGCAGTAACACATGAGGTGGAGGCAGACACATCTTGGCACAAAATATATGAGCACCTGGTAAACTGTGTGAGGAACGTGTGTGTTAAATGCAATCACAAGAGAGGGCTTCTCTGCTGGGACATGTGAGCATGATGCCATGCAAGGGAGAAAGGCCCAGGTAGGGGAATGGGAGTATTTAGAGAGGGTGGAGGAAGCACAACTGCACACGGAAATGTGGGCACAGCAGCATATGATGGAGATGTGGCTGCACACGGGATTGGTACATGAACACAGTGTGGAGAAACAAAAGTGCAAACAGATGCAATGTTTTCATATTTTAAAAAAAACTATTAAAAACCCAAAAACAAAGGGGGAAGAAAAAGAGGTTAAAGTGGAAGCTAAAAAGGAAAAGTTACCAGAGGAGAAGCTCCGACCTACCTCCAAAAAAGATCAGGTAACTTGTATACCATTGATTTAGATGTTGTAGGGAAACTTGAGATAAGAAAATAAATAGGGGAGCTATAACTGAAAGTTGCTTGTTCAGCAAAGTACTTAAGCATGTGCTTCACTTCAAGAACGTGGGTAATCCTGCTGAAATAAATAGGGATGAAGCTACTTATGTGCTTAAAATGAAGTACATACTTAAGTATTTTGTTCTTTTGGGGCTTTAGAACCAAGTCCTGTTTGTCTTAGAACAATAGATGTTGTGGAAACTTGAGATAAGAAAATAAATAGGGGAGCTATAACTGAAAGTTGCTTGTTCAGCAAAGTACTTAAGCATGTGCTTCACTTCAAGAACGTGGGTAATCCTGCTGAAATAAATAGGGATGAAGCTACTTATGTGCTTAAAATGAAGTACATACTTAAGTATTTTGTTCTTTTGGGGCTTTAGAACCAAGTCCTGTTTGTCTTAGAACAAATATTTCAGGAAAATCAGTTCAGTCAATAACACAAGTATGGTTTGCACCCTAGGGATGAATTTTTCATGACTGTATCAACTAATCATCCTTCCCTTGGTTTCCTCCCACTTTACTGTGAACTTTTTCCCTGTGACTGAGACCTACTCTTACAATAATAATAATAATCATCTAGGCCCTTTGGCCACTTGACTGCCTTAACTAATGATTTTCCCCCAAACTGCAATGCCCCATGATATAAACCGTGCATACCCAAGATTCTTCTTTTGTTTTAAAGAGAAAATCTACAAAATTTACTGCATTGCATTTCCACTGTAAACACAGGAGCTGGTGCCATGGTGTTTTACTGTATGGTAAGTAAATAAGATTTGGGGACCATTTACTCTTCAGGTTACAGCTGGACACAGGGAGCCACATTCAATGTTGTTTAGCAGCTGTGCTTTTGGTTCAGTGCAGCAGGTATCAAAATACCCACTGATTCTAATCGGACATGGAGACTGGTCAGGGCCTTGGAGGTTTGGATCTATTTGGGTTCAGCCAGGTCTGTGCGGCTTAAAGGGAACCACAGCACAGAGATCTAGTAACAGGCAGCTTGCTGCCTGTCCAGCTGCTTGGGAGCATTGAGGGTTGTAGAGAGTCCCATCCAGGGTCCTTAGTTTTTGGATTAATTCGGAACATGCTGTAGATGCTTAGCTCACCCTCAGAGAGTGATGAAGGCAAATCATGTCACAAGGTTTTACGTCCAGTTGCCTGGCTTGATCATCCAAGGTATCATATTTTGAGTAAGGTACACGTGAGATGGAAAAGGCAAATGAAGTGATGAAGATGGTTAGAAGAAAGGTTCCTAATGAACAGTGAGAGAGATTGGCAATACTACAATAAGTTACTCTAGAAAGGGGAAGAGTTAAATGAGACCTAATGGAGATGCTTCAGAATAGTGCACTAGAAAAACTAAACAATCACTCTACTCTAAATTAACCCGATTCAAAAGCAGAGGAAAGAGCTGCACAAAAAATAAGGGATGGATTATATTAAGAGTTCTTATAAGACAGAATCGGCTTATAATATTCACTGTTGCACACAATCTTTGAATATTACAAGTAAATGTAAAAAGGAGGCTGTAACTGACCACAAATATTGATTCTGGGTGGGACTTGAGACACAATCATCCTGCTTGTGTTTATGTGGAGCTCAGTCAACTCTCACTGGAGCTCTTATCATGCTTTTAAACCATGGCCACAGGGCTAGATTATCTAGGAAATTGGTAAGACTTTTAAAGGTGACTTGCAATTTTAGTGCTTCCATTTTTGGATGCTCAAGCTGAGACAATTTAAGAGAGTCCCACTTTTAGTACAATGCTGAATACCCATCCACTGAAAGGTAAATCTTTTGCATGTGTATCAAGCTGAGCATTCAAAGCGTTTTGCTCAGTTTTGAAAATCTCAGTTGTTGCTTCTTGGCTTGTGAAGAAAAATTGACAATCTCAGACTCCAAACCAAGCCAAGATCAGGCTCCCATCTCCACTCCTTCCCCCCCTTCAAGGACATACAAATTCATCGAGGCCTATTTCTGAACCATATATGTGGTTAAGAGGATGGCAGTATATCATGAACAAGATCCTGAAGGAATACAGTGTATCTACATAATTTTCCTTTTTAATTTTTTAATTCTGCAAGATTTTGCTTTTGCAGTTGTGCAACACAAGCACATGTCCTTTCTTAATGTGACCAAAATCTGGCCCTCAAAGTTCAGGTTTTGATCAAATTAGCAAGCAAAATCTGTCTCCTTTCCTGAACTGCCCCACAATTTTTGGTTCTCAAAAGTAGCCTGGAAAGTTCATAAGAACAAGGTTTCTCATGATGTGAGACTCCTGGTATTTCCTGCTTCCAGTTTGGCTAGACATGCCGCAACAGTTGCTTTTCTCATGGTATTTGGGTATGGTAGTTGGCTCTAAATGGAAGCCCTAGACCCAGATGTCTACAGCTTTTAAGTCACTGAGTAATTGATCCTAAATAAGGAATCAAATTTGCCAAATGGTCCCAACCTTAGTAACTGATTCACTGCAGTCTGAAGGTGTTCAAACTCTAGATTTAGAAATCCCAACTCTCAGATATTAGCATAACACCCTACAGGAAAGAAGCAGTGTAGAGAAAGATTAAAATATACCTACAGCTGAAAATTGGCTAAACATGCTTTTGGTCGTGTTCTATCTTGACTTGATGGTCAAGATTTGTGAGAGCATGTGAACTGTTTTCAGTTCAGGTAATACCACCTGTCTACTCCAACTGGAGTCAGTGTAGTCCTTTTTACTGAATTCAGCAGAAGCTGAATTAACCTGTAATTTAGGGAAGCACTGAGACAAGGGAAAGTACTTTTTCTGTTGCCTGCCTTTGGAATGGGACATAATGGTTTCTGCTTCTGTGCTAATCAATCTCTGTTTTGGCTTTAAAATTAGTAGGAGAAGGATTGGGCCCAAAAGCTGTGAAATGTTTCTGTAATATCTTGTTTTATCGTCTTTTTGAATAAAGAGGCCAAGCTGTATTAATGCTTTTCTCAAGTGCAAACACATTATCATAAATCCTACTGGCTTCTGAAATGCTATTTCCTAACATATTAATTTTTAAACTATATTGTTTTAATATTAGTTTTCTCAGTGATTTCAATTAAGATGTAAGAGATATGAACCTCCCCAGTGGACTTCAATACATCAGGCAGCTGGAAGTATTGGCTTTTTAATGAGACTTAGAAAGGTCTTGATGAAAATCTCAGCAAAGGAAATCCTATGCTCTCAAAATCCCAACACAGACATCCTGGCATGTGAAACCTTGCAACAATCAACATTGCCGGTTTCAGTATCACCCTGACTGGGACTGAAGGGTTAGGAGATTGCTAACAGGCAGCAGAGATTTTTGCTGTGATCATGATCACTAGCTACAATCTTGCCCAGATTTGGGAGCACCCAAAAGATGTTACTGTCTGATGGCATTCATTAGGCTCAATGAATAGCCCTGGTTGTCTCAGCCCAGCTCCTAGAAAACAGAAAACCATTCCTTGAGGCTGCTAGCAATAATGGCCTTGTTTGCTAGCAGTCACAGCATCATGGCCAAAGAATGCACGGTCACGGAAACTGAACTCCCCTCTTGTCCATCAGGGCACTTCTGCCAGGTCGTGGCTAAAGCCCGTTGGCAGGAGAGGGTGGGGAAAGTCTGCACTGCCGCTGCCTGCTTTCACGACAGAGCAAATGTCTCTGTGGGTTGCGTCCAACATCCCTCACCAGTGGCAAATTTGCTCAAGTAGTTTAACCACCCAGTACTCGCTTGTAGTGTGTGCCACCTTGACATTGTCCATCATATGAGTTTCTGTGAGCGAGCAAACTGGCCTCAGGTAAAGTCAGAGGTTGACTTTGGGACTTCACTCAGCAGTTTAATACAATGCCTCAGGAGGATCTTGACTTTGAAGACTCTGAACTCATCCTTTATTAGTAATATTGCATGTCCAGAAGTTGTTCTTTGATGAGGAAGGATAGAAATTTAATTTGATTCAGGGGGGGGGGGGGGGGGGGGGGGG